CATTTGTTTTTTATTTTCTAAAACAAGTAACTGGAGTATTAAATATAATAAGTTAATAAAGAAAAATTATTAATAGAGTGCAACTAAAATTTTGCCTAAGTTATTAAATTCAAATACTAAAAAAAAATATTGCATTATATTAATTGATGATGCTGTTAAGCCTAAAAACTACATTATTAGGATAATAAAGCTTATTTACTAATAGGGAGTTTAAGTTGTAAACTATGAAAGAAATAAATATGAATTTATTTAAGTTAAAGGATCAGGTCATTTTTGATTTATGTTTTAAGGAAATAAATATTGGCAAAGATATAATTTTTATGTTATTAAGATTATACTTTATTAATTGTATGATAAAAACTTATTAGTTTATCAAAGCGACAATACAGGATATTTATATAAAATACAATTATAAGATAGAGATAATAAATATAATAATGAAAGTAAATATAACTGTGAAAATAAATATAGTAAATAAAATAATGATAAATATAATAATAAGAAAAATAAATATCATAACGATAATTGTGATAGTAGTGAAATTAGTGAAAATGATGATCACGATTTTCCTAGTGATCATTAGTGACATTAGTTAGCGCAGTCATTTAGTGATGCAAATAGATTATCATTAATAATGCAGTATAAACTTAAAATATTTTACGAATAACTAAAAATTATTTTTTATATTTTATAGTAAAGATCTTTATACTGTTGTATTCAGTTCTTTTATTATATATTTATAAATAATTTTAAGATATTAATTAAAAATAAGTAATTATTATAAAATATTTATTTAATATTATCAAATTAATTAGCGTTGCTTTAATGTTAACACTATATAATTTCACTTGATTAGTAAAAATAAAGTAATTACATGAGTATTTCACCTAATATAAATTATTAAAAATTTAGTTAATATATAATTTATTTTAATTTAGATAGTTAATATTCTATTTAATTAAATTCATAATTTTAAATTTTATTAATTATATAACTAATATAATAATAATTTAATGCTTTTAGTTATTTAGAAAATATATAATAGCTTTTAAAATTCAGAATTGTCAAAATTATTTTAATTATATAATAAATTTATAATACAAATAATGATTCAAATAAAATAAAAATTATAATATAAATAAATTTTCAATTATAATAATAATTATAATTAGTTAAATTAACTTTTAATTAGTAAGAAAAAAAGAATAAACAATTAATTATAAATAATATTTATTGATAAAAAAAATCTTTTGAGATAATTTTTTATTCTTTATTCTATTATAAAGGGAAATTTTTCTTAAAATTCATTAGTAGATTAATAATTTATTCTTATTTTTATAAATACACTATATTAAAAAAGTATTTAGACAATTTTTTATGAATTATAACTTAAGTTTATATGATAAAAAATAAATATTTATATAATTATATAATGCATGTTTTAATGTATTAATTGAATATATTTTATTTTGTTTAAAACTACTTTATTATTTAATATTTATAAATAAATAAATAAAACTTGTTTTAATTAAACATAATATCAAAATACAGTAAAATTTCATATTTTATAAATTATTTAAAAATACAATAATTCAATTTTATTAAATATACATTGATAGTAAGTTTTTGATAAAATGAGTATGATAGTTTTAATTTTATATTTTTATAATCATTATCTTATAAGATATTTGCATATATATATTCTAATGTTAATCAAAGTCAAAGATTATATTTGATTGTTTTATAAAAAATTGAAGAATAATATTTTAGATAAAATGAAAAAAAAAACTATTTATTAGTTTAAAATAATATATTTTGTTGTGTCTGATACTTTTTTCAGAGTAGTGTATATTGATAATTCTAAAAATATAATTTTATTTTTAAATTGTATATTAAATTTTAAGCATTTAAACATTTAATTTTTAAAATAAAATAATATTATAAATTATCAATTGTAAAAATTTATAAATGTAATCATTGCAAAATTTTTTTTTAAATATTTGCTTATTTAAAAGAATAAAAACAATATTAAATTTCAAAGCTTCAAATATTAATATTTTTAATAAAAGTTTATTATACATCACTTTATCAAGAAAAATATGAACTTAAAAGAGATTATGTAAAGTTAAAGTTTATGACTTATAATATTGATAGTTATTGATTTATAAAGTTTTTAAAGATTGAGGGTTGATATTCGTTAAGGAATTAGGAAAATTTGGTAAGCTATTTATTTTAGTATTAAAATAATTGAGAATTATTAAAGAGTTAGATAAAGTTGATAGAATAGTTATTGGAGTATTAGAATAAATAAGTTCTGTTAAGGAATTGGGTAAAGTTGGCAGGATGGTTATTGAAGTATTAGAGCAGTAAAGTTCTATTAATGAGTTGGATAAAGTTGGTAGGATAGTTATTGGAGTATTAGAGTAAATAAGTTCTATTAAGGAGCTGGGTAAAGATGGTAAGCTATTTATTTTAGTCCAATGACAAATGAGTTTTGTTAAAGAGTTGGGTAAAGTTGGTAGGATAGTTATTGGAGTATTAAAGCAATTAAGTATTTTAATGCGTTAGATAAAGGTAATAGAATAGTTGTTGAAGTATTAGAGCAAATAAGTTCTGTTAAAGAGTTGGGTAAAATTGGTAAGCTATTTATTTTAGTCCAATTACAATGAGTTTTGTTAAGGAGTTGGGTAAAGTTGGCAGAAAATTTATTGAAGTATTAGAACAATTAAGTTCTGTTAATGAGTTGGGTAAAGTTGGTAAGCTATTTAATTTAGTGCCATTACACCAGGATCCCGTTAAGGAGTCGGGTATCATTGGTAAGCTGGTAATTTGAGTAAAATCACAAGTGAGCTTTACTAATTTTCGATATCTTTGCAATCCGCCTTTGGTCATCCTTATTAAGTTCCGTAATTGCTAAACTAACAGTAGTATCATCATAAATATTTAATTCAAGGTTTTGATCCTTTTTTCTAATTCATTAATAATTTTGTTGTCTTTGTTTATTTCTTCTCGTTCTATAACTTTTTCTTCTAAATGATTAATAATTTCTTGCTTGGTTTTCTTCGAACTTATCCTTTAAATTTTTGAATTGTAAACGTAATCGTTCATTACTTTGTTCCAATTCCTTAATTCTTGTTTCAAGTCTATTAAGGCTTGTTCTAAATTTCTTCTTAAAACCATTATGTAATGAGAGTTTTTAGAATTGTTCCAAGGATAATATTCTCTTTTTTATGCAAGGACAATTCAGCCCTCGGTTTAAAATTTTCCATATGTATAATTGCGTAATGAATTTCCATAAATACATTCAGTATGAATTTTAAATACTTTTTTAGAAAAATTACTCTCGTTGTTTTTTTTGGCATATTCTTCAATATAAAGTACAATAACTTCGAAATGAATTAAAAACAAAAAAAGAAAGAAATTGATTACACGCAAGTTCACAAAACAAAAAAATTTTTAAATAACTATTCAAAATGGAAAAGAATTACAGTAATTTCATTTGTTTTAAATTTTATTTTGCATAAGTTTAACGTATGCATTCTAAAGTATTTTATGATGTAGTTGTTATTGTCATGGATTTATAAATGTGTTAATAAAATATCAAGCATTATATTTAATGGAACAGATGCGCTTCAAGAAAAAAAATGTAATGTACCGCACTTGCATATGTCCAACCTCATATAATTTGCAAGTGTTTCAATAAAGTTTAATTTTTATTCATAAAGATCGAAATAATTTAAAATATTAAAATATCAACAAAATAAAAAGGAGTGACCAAAATGGAAACTAGAGATTTTAAACGATCCTAAAATACAAAGAAATTATTTTTACAAATTTATTATTAAACTTGTCCATTATAATGAGCTACTTATTGAAAATAAATAATAAACCTCTTGGAATCCCAGAATTTAAAAATTTTAGGATTTAGGATAAGGTTGCCGGGCAAAACCCGGAGGTTTCGACAGGCATCGAAATCGAAACCCGTCGAAACGTTTTGCCAAATATTTTTATTAAAGGCAAAATTGCGAAAGTTTCAACGGGTGGCAAAAGTTTCGAAGGATGGCGAAACCCATCGAAACCTTTTGATATTAAAATACTATTTTTGAATTTAAAAATTTATTATTTTTTGTCCCGTATTTTCTTCATTTAAACTCATGATAGTACATATCTTCCATTAAACTTTCATTTGAAAAATCATCATCTAGAGATTGGAACCGGATTCGACATTCGGATTTAAACCCAGATATATCCAGTTTCGGATACAAAATTGGCTCAAAGCCGGGTATATGATATGTATAATTTTATTAATCTTTAAAAAAATTTATGTGATCTGCACAGTTTTGTAATAGAGATTAGATACGATTTTTCAAATTAAATAAATCCGAATATAAAAATAAACCCGGTTCCAGCCTCTATTATCATCTTCTTCATAAGGTAATTTTTTTAATTCTTCAACAAGTAGAATGCTTCCAATTTAAACAACTCGATAAATAATGCATTATTTTGGAAACTTTGATCTAATTTAAAATAAAAAGCAAATAAAATCGTTTATTCTACATTGTGATACAATAAAACTGTTAAACCGTCAAATTCGCAAAGTTATTATCGAAACTGTCGAAACTTTCGAGACCCATCGAAACTCGTCGAAACTCGTCGAAACCCATCGAAACCCATCGAAACTGTCGAAATAATTTCTGAAAAGTTTCGACTTTTGCCAAAATGGGTTTAGGGTTTTGCCCCGCAACTATAATTTAAGATCGGATTCCTTGAACCGGTCCCATACTTAGCGACCCAATAAAAATTGCCAATTTTGAATATCATACTCGCTTTTTAAGAATAAAATTTATTACAATTTTTTGAATGGGTTATTTATTATAGTTTCTCTAGAATTAATAATCTTATCGTAAGGACGCGGTTAAGGTCCCTAATAGAAACAAAGCTTGCTAAAGAAGCTTTTTTGATGATTTAGAATATTGATGATGAGAGTGATGTAATCATAAATGGTAAATACAAAATATTTAACAAAACGAGGTGGAATTATATTTAAATGCCCTCGTGCAGTACGAAATAAAGATATACTTTGGTGGCAGGTATGTATTTATTATACTATGGACTTCGAAAAATTAAACTTAATATACATCTATAAAAGTTTTAATTTGAACTCCTTTTTTATTCAATATCAAGGGCATTTATATCGTTTATATTTCAAAATGAACATAAAATAAATTGAACAAACTTATAAGAAAGTTATAATGTTGAATATTTGCTAATATACTGCTGCGTTCACATCCAAAAGTATGTATGGGTATGCACATATGTGCAAGCCTTTCTCACATTATTAATACAATACCGACCTATTACTTGAAGTTTATAATTCACTAGTTGCTTTTACTTTAATTATAACTAACTCTGCTTTACATTTCATATTAACATCATCACGTTAACATGTTCGTAAGTAACGTTTATTATCTGATTGCAATTATATAATAATTAGTTATCACACCGTGCTTTTTATTGATCTTAGCTTCTTCTAGAATAATAAACCTATTTAATAACTCGTACTTTATGGATCTATCTAATTAAAATTACCTAAAATTTAAAGCAAAAATCGAAAAATTTTGATTATAATAAGTTCTATCACTGCTTGGCAGACGTTCTGCAATAGTCTTTATGAAAGCTTAATTTCTATCCTTAGGGAAATAGGAGCATGTCATGTTAAAACTTTAGATTTATTATTTATTTTTTTTTTTTTTTGATATATGTTCGAAGAAGCGTTAGTTGCAGAACTTGAATTAAATGAAATAATCGAGCTTTATGAGGCGCTAGACTTTTTTTTTAACTTGTCATAAGATTGCAAATATATTATTTGTCAGGCGCTGTCAAAACATATGTACTATTACTGTACATGAATATAATTTCGCCCGAAGACACCATAATTTTGTATGTAAATTTTTTCGATATTTGCATTAAGGCTTTTGAGGATCATTTTGACAGTGCCAGGTTGTTAGGATGGCAGGATGAAAAAATGTCAGGATGCCAGGCTGTCCTAATAATTATTTTTTTATAAAGACGAGCTAAAATTCTTAAACTACTTAAAATTCCTCTTATATTTGCATATATATGTAGTGCGTCAGATGTCGAAATATGCCCATAATTTAGGCCAGTCTGCATCGCAAATTGTCATCTGAGGCACAACATATACACCTTAAAAACTTTCCTTTAATCCCTTAGCGATATTTTCGTTTTCGCCGTTTTAACATTTAAATTTTATTATTACTTTGTTTTTTTTTTTTTTTTAATTCCCGATTTTCTTATTATTTTATTATTCAACTTTTCGTAATTGATCAGTTTTAATTAATTAGAGTTTTATTGATTGGGCATGTAGAGCGTCGACGTTGAGGCAACACTGATTAATTTGATATAACTAATTGATTTTTACTCAATAAAAACCTTTTGCTTACAATTAAAATTATTTATAAATACATAAACGAAAGAACTGAATACAACACTACCATCCTGAAAATGATCTACAAGACTAGCCACAATTATCGAAAGCAATTTACAAGCGTAAATCGTGATCTTTCGAGCGGAATTATATTAAACGTAACAGTATATCGAAAATTATATTTTGTTATTGAAATAAAAAAGGAATTTGAATCTGTTAACATATGGCTTGGCTTAGTTACGTTTCTAAGCCTCTTGGCTTAGTTATGTTATCAAAGCTTCTTATTTAGTTACATTACCAATGCCTCTTTGCTTAGTAACAGCAAACAATGCCACCAATATCCCATTTACGAACTGCCGGAATTGATTTATCGTCTGTGGGAAGAATTATATTCATTGTATATATAATAACTTTAAATTTTTTTCTTAACCGATTATATTTACAGCATTTGTGAGGCTGTAAAGGTTGTAACGCTCTTTATGAGAATCTCTAACAAGCAAAATATAGGTTTCTTAAGGATAAGCTCAGTAAGCCCGATACTTAAGAAAAAACTATAAAAAGTGAAGGAAATTTTGTTATCAAATTGTCAAGAGACAGCAATTCCATCAAGTAATTTAAATTGTAACTCTAATCTGATTTGCTTATAAATATTCGTCTTTAAGCTACATTCCCACAAGAATCTGTTTATAAAGTTCACATATTTGTGATATTAATTATTCAAACACTTCCAAAATCATCATGAAAATTCACATTTTCATGCTTATTATCGTCATTTCAGCTTTCAGTGTAGCTTTCTCAGCTCCTTCTTCTAATGAGAAACACTCAACCTTGGTGAAAAGGGAATGCCCCTGTGAAGCTGTTTGTGATGTTATAAATTGTGGTTGCACGAATTGTATTACATGTTGTATACACTGATTTCTGTTTTGGTAATGGTTACATATAATATTTAATAAGCTTGTTTTCAGAATTTTATGTAACTCTTTCTATGTAAAGCTTCTAGTTCCATATATTTTATTTGTTTTCAATATAATGTCCTTTTCACCAACTTATAGATTTGAATTGTTTCGACTTAACCTTTTTTTATTTGTAAAAATCAATTATTGAGTCAAGTACATCTTTTTATGCGTATGGTTGTTGAAAAAAAAATTGCTCTTAGTTTGGAGAAGCATCTTTGATATATTTCCTATTTAACACTAAAAGATAGTTTCTTGAAATGACGTAGCTTAGTCACGTCTCTTGTTTGGAATTAGCAATCATAACTTTGCATTTAGACTGAAATTATCAAAATGTTTAGCCAGAATTAAAGTTGTCAAAATCCCATCCCATTTTGAAATTTTTATTTAATTGAGAGTTCCGCGATGTTCTGACTCAGTCACACTTGGTTTTTGCAGAATTGACTCTGCCGTCTAACGACTGGTATCATAAAAATGAATATTGAAAATATGGGACCTTTGCAATATAAAGGGGGAAATCTGCCAGAAAAAAATTAATTTTACTAGCTAAATATGATTTTCAGGTCAAGATATTTTTGAATTTAGATTTATTTTATTTTTCCCGGCAGTTTCCCCTTTCTATTGCAAAGGTTCCGCGAACTTTCTGATCTAATATTTTTTTTTTTTTTTTTTACGTCGAAAAATGCCACCTTAACATCCTATATTAGACTTTAATATATATACAGCATATATATATATCTTTCAAAGGCTTTACTCATTATTGAATTTTATGATACATTAGTTTTGATTTACACCTGCAATTCGAAGAATAATATTTCGTGAATACTTAAAAAAAAAAAAAAATTTGCATAACATATTTTTATTTTTAAGAAAACTATTACTTCAAAATGAACAATCTTTCATCAAATTTATGAAAATTTGTCAAAAAAAAAAAGTTGCAAAATAATTCACAATGTAAACTTAATTGTATATTACATTATACGACAATTACTTTCGTTTTTTGTTTCACTTCCAACGTCAAAAGTTGCAACACATTCTGGGCATTGAAATTGCATTTTCATTTGCTCGTCATCACATTCCCGACAATATACTAAAAAATTATAAAATATTTAAAAAACCATTGTCCCGTAATTCAATAAATTATATTGTACTTTAATTACATAAATAAAATTACTTACCGGATGACCATTAGGGCATTCGTATAAATGCCCTGATTAAATAATGGAAAAAAATTAATACAAAGAAAATACAAATTATTCATACGTAATTTCTTAAACATACCTGAACTTAGAAATTCATTTTGAATTACACGATGAATTTCTAATTTTTCTTCAATACTTGAAGTTTCAACATTCTCACAGGTTTCCAATAATTTCTCTAATCTGATATCGATAACGCTCGCTCTTATATTTCCCCTTTGCAATAATATATTCATAACGTCCACATGTATTCATAATGCCCTTCATAACATTTATACACATTTTCACTATGTTTATCCGAGGTACTTTAGGTGAGAATTTTAATTGATAAATATTCTTAAGTTCCAATTCTAACATTTTCTACATTGGTCAAAAGTAGGTATCTATAATAATGAGCGGATACTGCTACTTCCTTAATGGTATTTAGATGTTTTTGAATAGAAAGTTGTAAGTTTAAAGCAAATTTCTACCAAATTCTTGAATTTTTGTAGCTATTGGTTTTTCCGCTTTCGAAATTTCTTGGATTATAAATAAAGTCTCATTGTATAGGAATTTTTGTAAATTGACTATTTCAAAAATGTGTCTAAATAAATACTGCGGTCGATTTTTGATATCGTAATTCCTGATTGAGAAAGTGAATTCTTTGAAGAGATCGAAATTTTATTCGATGGAGTAGCGCTTGAAGAAATTTTAGAATTTGACAATTCAACGGTTAAACCCTTTTAGCATCTTGATATCTATTGTACATAAATAAAATAAATAAAATTGAAGAAAAAATTTTTTTTCCATTTTTTATTTAATTTAAAGAAGTGATATACTTACAAACTTGTGGTGGAGAACTCAAAAGCTTTTATATGTGGTGATGATTTGGTGACGTAAAGTATGTTCGTTAATTCTTTGTACATTTTAATAATTCTCTGACATGATCAAGCCAAATTATTTTACTGAATTTATCAAATCCATGTATTTTCCAACCTTTTCATAATATTTATGAGATATAATCTCGTATACAGTATATTGCTAGGCTCTTCATACGTAATTTCGTTTAATCTGAATCATCAGTAGGTAAATGACTTAAAACATATAATAATTTCTTCTTATCTTTCATATTATCCTCAAGTGAAATTATTCGTTTAGTAACATTACTTAATTGATTATCATATTTGGTTAGGAATTTTCTGTTTTGTGCGTCTATAACGTATTTGTTAATTATCCTAGACATGTTTTTACATTTGTTGTTGATGTCCATTTTCTCTCGAATATGCCTTCGCTTTCATGATAAACTTCCATACCCATATGCATATCCATAGTTTCCTTGGTAAATACAAGTCCACAAGAAAGAACAATCATTCTTTTCTTCTTCCAATTCACCTTACTAAATAAAATCTTCTTAATTGCATCCGATTCTGTTTTAAAAACAAATTATTCAGAAATAGAGATAACGATAATTGTCCGAAGCGTAGCAGAGAAATATTATGTAAACTCAAGACCAGTCTGTCACTAGCTTCCTCACAAATCATAACTTTAGGATTAATACGTTTAATTAAATTTTGAAATTTAGCGTCATTTGTGGTCATACCAATAACATCGCAACCTAATAATGCTTGAAGACTTCCT